AGATAAACTGAGTGTGCTGTTTAAACTTTATAAACTGGAGCCATTTTATAAAGAACAAGCACTCTTTGGTTACATACCTCTCCAGCCATTGGCATTTATAGCTGTAAATTGGAATAACTGCAATCCATAAAATCTTAAACCATAATACGTGAGTTCATCTTTAAAATGCCAGAATACTTTTTTGCTACTCTTTTCTACATAAGAATTAAAGCAGCTGTCCCTTTAAAAAAATAATTTAAATGGTTAACTCCAAACTGGCTAAATATAGCTCTCTTCTGGGTATGTGATAATATTATGAACGGGTTGCCTATAGACGTAGACTTTGTATGGACAAGTATAATGAAATATGGGACTCATTTATACAAAATACACTGGGTTAAAAAACCATAGTCATATAACTCTATTAGAAATATATATGTACTTGAATAATAGTTGTATAAGTAACCATATATAGAACTGTAACTGTTAACTGTTATATTAACACTTTTTTCTTTTTGTATTTTTTTCACCTTATGTTAAAGCACTTTTATGCATTTTCCTCTTTTTATAATCAATTTTTTTTTTAAAGAGTATGTGATAATACTGTATTTAAATAAGGTTCAAAAGACCACAGTTTATTAGAGTGGGAAACTGTCATGAAGCCTGTGAGCTGTTTGGCTGTATCTTTCCCTTTCAAATATGTGTACGTTCTATTGGCAGAATCCAGGTTAGACTGGAAAAGCCTCTGTTCTGGAATTGGGCCATTAAATATTTTGAAGTATATTGATCCCGGCAGAGCAATCGTGTTTTTGTAAACAGAACTCAAAATTCAGCAGGTTTAGCAAACTACAGAATGCATTATCAGATTTTTCTCCTAACTTGAAACAAGAATAGTACTTAAAGTGGAAAAATAATTATAGCACAGCATTATAGTTTGTAGTACAAAGTCTTTTTGACCCACTAGATGGCTGCACGTAGCTGATCTTGGCTGATTTAAAAAAGCTAATCAGAATTGGACCTCGTTAGTACTTGGATGGGAGACCACCAAGAAATACCAGGGCTGTAGGCTAGCCTAGGAAGTTTAAAAAAAAAAAAGCCTGAAAAAAGGCATTGACAAACCACTTCTGTGCTATTGTAAGATAAACTCGATGGGTGAGTCCATTAAGCCACCAGGAATTAAGTTCCCCTTGAAGGAGAATGTACTTTTTGTGTCTTCGACCTTCTAAAAAATACTGCAGTATTGTAGAGCAGTGTGAGAAAAAGAACACAATGTTTTGCATGATATAGTGTATATTGGTAGCTAGATGATATTTGGGCTATAAATATGAACAGAATATGTAACATGTTAAAGGACATGATGATACCAGCCAAAACAAATGCATGTTGTTAATTAGTCTTAAGAAAAAATAGTTCCAAATGTGCTGCATGGAAAATTTTGCAGGCTTAAAAAAATACTTTCCACCATTTTATGCAAATGTCACTCATTGAACTTCTTTCCAAATTTCTTAGTTTTTAAAGGGCAGCTTGAAACATTTTTCCTCCTCAAGAAAAAAATGCCTAACAAAAGATGGTTAATATTACTTTTCATGTAAGCATATCATTTATATCTTTAACCAAGGTACAATTTTGCATGTCACAAAAATCAGCCCCCAAATTTATTTTAATTTACTTTACTTCACTGACTACGCTTCACTTGGCTTAGAAGCCATATCAGTCAAAACCAACTGAGCAGTGTATACCTCCTGATGCCTCCTGATAATGAATTTTAACATGTTGCAAAACAGCATAAATGTTTATTACAAGCACAGACATCTGCCACATGAGACAGATATATTTATATGAGTATGGCATACAAACATTTTTTGTGGCATTTCCATCTGGACAAATATCTTTTGAGACTAGGTTCTCTTGGTGTCTCAATTGCTAATCCACTTCTTTTCAACTATAGCTAACTATTTCCTATTAATGGGAATATGGGGTAGCAACCAAACTGTAGAATAAAATGATGTGATTCAGTTACTATGCCCTGGTGGATCCTTGTTTTCCTTAGCCAAAGGAAGAAATTAATGTATTTGTGTAATTTCTAATTTGAAATCTGTGAGTTTGTGAGAATTTGTTCCAGTTGTTAAATAATAGCGGGCTTTTTAGGGGCAAGAAAAATAAAGCAGATTTTGATAAATCCCAATATTTATTGTGGCAGACTTTTCAAATAGTAAATATTAGTGTGTTGGGGATATGGAAAACCTACCAGGATATTCTGTGGACCCAGCTGATCTGACCATTCCAGCAATCAGCTGGTGGTTTTCCAGAACAGTCACACTGGCATGATTTGCAGGAGAACGTTTTAAAGTTCTACAGAACATATTGTTCTTAAGACAGTCGGCTTGGACTTTTCTGTCACGTGGCTTTGTCTAATGAATAGCAGTTCCAAAACAGAATTTATGAAGGATCCCACACTTATTTCGGTCATGGGTTAGTTACTTGCATTCTTGATTTTCTAACACAATGATGAGGCCTTTGCACTTTCATTAAGTCATCAAAATAAATAAGCTCACGTTTGCTACAAATGTAAAAACCTGCATATATGTATATTATTGTTGGATTGTTATGAATGTATTGATGATTACTGCTGCTGTTTTTGTCTTTGTAACATTGCTATATTTATTGTTTTATATTGTTTATGTGATTGTTTTACATTTTAAAATATTTGTCAAAAGTCCAGGATATTCTAAAAATTAAACAAAATCTGGATTTTGGTATAGTTTATAATAATTACTCATTTTTAGGTGACAGTGGAAGAAGTGATGGCTACAACTGCATACCTGGATCTCTTTTTGCGGAGTGTTTCTGAGCCAGCCTTACTCAAGATCTTTCTCCGTTTTATCCTTCTGCATTGTCATGAGAATGTGCACATCCTGGACACTCTTGCAAGCCGGATAAATACTCCATTTCAGGTGAGCAGGGAGATCTCTCCTCTTCTTCCTCAGTATTGTTTTAGATACGTCTGAAATCTATCTTATCATAAAGGAAATTTTTGAAAAACCCAAATCAAGTCCATGCCTTCAGGATGATAATCTAATGCTACACAAGAAAAAAGGAAAGCAAAAGGAAAAATAAGAAAATTGAAGTCTTATCACTTACAGTGCATTCCGAAAGTATTCAGACCCCCCCTTCACTTTTTTCAATTTTGTTATGTTGCAGCCTGATGCTACCATCGTTCAAATTCATTTTTTTCTCATTAATCTACACTCAGTAACCCATAATGACAAAGTGAAAACAGAATTTTAGAAATGTTTGCAAATGTATGAAAAAGGAAA